GTTTGCAGTTTTGAGTCAGGCTGGAAAAATAAGAAATGATAATGTGAAGAGAGGAGAGAGGTCCGGAGTTTACCGTGCTGATGGTATCTAATTGCAGAAAAGTTTCTAATCATTAGATCCGCTGTGAATCAGTTTTGAAAAACTTTGCATGAGTTTCCAGAATAAATGAGGAATTGAAATGCTGCCTTGCGATATATATGGGAAATTGTCCTTTCCATTTAAGCTGGAGACAGAGGTATAGCTTTACAGTAAGTCTTTATATTCTTATTTATTATCTCATTGGTGATAATAATAGCAAGGGATGCTATTTGTCTGAGAGCTCTAAACTGTGAGATAGCTGAAGCAGGCAAAAATGGTTAGAAGTTCTCAACAAGTGGTGGGAGAGTTGGGGTGGACAGGGTAGCATCTGTGCAGATCTGTGAACTATGATGACCCAAGAGAGCAATCTGTGAGATGGACCAGCATCAGTTCAGCTGATCACAGCCTGACGTCAAAACAAGAACTCACCTTCATGTAATACTGATTAGATTCATCAGCATTGTGAGCTGCAACATTTCTTAGCATCTGAATGTCTACCATCCAACATAACCTCTAAAAATGAGAAAAAAAGAAATACTTGCAAATCTGATGGTCTCTGAACTAAATAGCACTGAAAACTTTACCTTCTGTTTGCAACACTGTCACTTGTTACACGAGGCACTACTGCACAACAGTTCCTAGTGCTCACTCTAATCCTGTGAATGTAGAGGGACTGTGTAATATTGCTGCTCAGGATTGCACAACAGAGCTGCAGCTACTTTGCAGAAGTTCAGTACTGAATGCTTTCGTCTGGTTGTTGTCAAAAATGTCATTAGAATTTCCTCTGATCACAGTGGGTCAGCCCATATGTTCAACTGCAAAAAGAAGTGATGCTGGGATAGGAAATACCCCATGGCATCAGGATGACAAATTTTCATGATGTAATAGTATTGTTTAGAGGTTTGCTTACAAGAACTGTACTGGGTATATATGAAGATCACAGATGTTACACTTAAATGTAAATTTTTAGTTCATGTGTTTATAGATAGACAAGAATTCCTAAAGAGTTAAAAATCAGAGGATTAACAACGACAACAGTGTTTGTTATTTTTGAGGTGATCTCATGAGTTTTGTTTTCCTGATTCATGATTCTGTCATGTTGGTGGAAATATGGTGAAAGCTCACAACTCCTTTATTACTGGACTAATCTCACAGAAGAAGAAATTACAGTTTTATAGGAAAAGAAACCAAAAGAAATGCTGAGTGCAACCATTATTTTATGTGTCTTGAGCCTGCCCCTAATGTGGTTATAGTGTTTAGAAAATATTTCTGCTTAATGTGAAAACTGCTGGCTGAAAATGAAAAAAATTTAGTTCTGGCAGTCTCCAGCTTCTGCTGTCCCTCATTTGCTCCTGATTGGTTTATTTTTTGGTGTGGATGCAGTGAACCTAAGTTGTGATACGAATTTGAAAAACAGAGAACTCGAATGGTTTTGGTTGCTTAAATTCTGTGGTAAGAGAAACCTTGTTTTCAGAGCCTGAAATGCATTTCGGATGCACCAAGTGGAGGAAGATGTAATGCTATCGCTTCCAAATACTGCTTGAATAATGTCCCAAGCTGCTCCATGTCCAGTCCCAATAAAAATTAAATATGAATAACAGTAGTTGGACACCACATCTATTTCAAATACCAAATGCAAGACATGCCTCCTGAATACAAAAATCAAAGTGGACTTTACCATGTGAAATAGAAGAAAAACATAAGTAGAACTTGTAAGCCTTCTCTAACCACTGAGACAAAGAAGGGAAAACATCCTCTAAACAAGTCATCTTCCCCTTGAACTCCCTCACCCCGTAAACATATTCACAGACATTTGGGCATTTTCTCTTACCTGTAAAGCTTGGACCATGTGTAGTGCTAGCCTAAATGCATCCAGTCCTGTGAGATGAAGATTGGCCTACTCAGGCTTTTAGTTCTCCCTCCACGGAGAGAACAGGTTGGATAGAGCTTTTGGAAATCTGGTCTATTGGGTGACCACCTATCTCTGTTAAGGGTGTAGGAACAAGATGATTTTTAGGGTCCCTTCTTGCCCAAGTCATTCCATGATTCTTTGTTTCTATTACCTCTGGGAAACTTCTATCAATCACCATTTGGCTCAGTACTTGGCCCAATGGCAGCCACTTGATTTGTAGAGATCAGAGAGGAGGGGAATTTTGCACAGCTTTTAAAGTCCTTGAGATGTATTCAAAACCAAGCACTCACTAGAAATCTTTGCTTAGTCACTGTGTTTGGACTCTGTGTGTTAACTGTACTCAGTGCTCAATTTATCGTCAAATTCAGCCTTTGAATAAGTAATTTCTTCCACCTTCAGAATGTGGGAAAACTACACCCTCTAATTTTTTAATTTTAATTCTAGATTTTTTTTCCTGAATGCTTTACATGTATTGGATACTTGACAAAATAAGTTGAGCACTTTCAGAAATTGAAGTTGAGACCTGTGTTTGAAAAGTTCATGCATGAGCTTTGTGCAAATCTAGTGCTAACGTCATTGCTCCGCCAAGGAGGCATGCAATTCCTTGCTCCACATGAAAATCAAGCAAACTACTCTTCTGGGAGAAGCCAACATGAGAAGAACATTGTCCCTTTTCTAGTCTCAGCCATCCCAATTCTGGTGAATGTGCTTTTCCGAAGGCCAGGCAAAAATTCTGCATCCTGGGGACATAGCCACATACACAGATGCTTTCATCAAGGATAGATTTCTTTCTCTCTCATGATCAGTTGAGACAGTGCACCTAGTCAGCAGATGGCTAATATCATGCCTTGCAAATACAGAATAGGCCACAAGTCCTCTGTGAGGTTAAAGCCCATGGCTGAGTCACGTCCTCATCTGAATTGTTGTCAGAAGGAAGGAATAAGACCAATGAGTTTTTTTTCTCTTCATTTTCAGTCTTGCTCTAACTGGGGACAGACATGACATTTCTAGTGCCCTAAGACATAAAATCATAGCCTTTTCCTTTACTTATCTGCAATCACCTGAAACTCAGGTATTAAGCTAATAAGTAACTATGCTTGCTTCTATGACTGCTTAAAAAGAAAGGAGAACCTTTCTGAAAGGCAGTAACACTTGAAATATTACATTCTATGAAATAAAACCACTGTCTCTGGATGCAAACAATAACCTCTTTTTTGGAAACCAGTTACTCCAGTTGTGAGCAGTGATGTCCTATTAGTAGCAGTGAATCTGCTTGTTCAAAGAGTAAAACATTCTGATTGCTCTCTGAAAGATTTGAGACAGTTTCTAATTGAGGATTTATTGTTTGCTTTCTGTTTCTTTCTAACGTGTCCTCATTTTTATGCTTTTTCCGTCATATAGTTATGCTTTGAGCAAATTCAGTAAAAAGTAACTTAATCTGCTCAATAGATCAAGGTTTTTCACATCATGCAGCTCTTGGCTTTTTTTTAGAAGACAGAAGCTCTTCTTAGCAGTTGTTACAGTAAATCTCTGGAAATTAGTCATTTGAACTATTTCAGAGCTATTCCATTTCCATTCTAGGTCAAATCTTATCAGATTAATGCTAATTTATTTGCATTTTAAATAAATAGTTTTTGTTACTCAACAGTTGTGCCATTATATTATTTCCCTTACTGGCAAAGCTATAGGAAAGATCAGAAAAGACTCTGGGATAAAGACTGGACTAACCGTGTGCTCTGATTTTGATGTGTTCTGGATCTGGTTAATCTTATGTAGCTTGAATTTAAGAATTATTTTTAAATTAACAGCCAGTGTTTTTCCACCATTAATCATTAGTCCTGGAAGACAAGCCTAAGATGTAAAGATGTTTAGGTTAGATATTAGGAGGAAGTTTTTCACACACTGGAACAGGTTGCCCAAGGAGGTTGTGGATGCCCCATCCCTGGAGGCATTCAAGGCCAGGCTGGATGTGGCTCTGGGCAGCCTGGTCTGGTGGTTGGCGACCCTGCACATAGCAGGGGGGTTGAAACTAGATGATCATTGTGGTCCTTTTCAACCGAGGCTGTTCTATGATTCCCAGAGTGTAAGTAAAGAACATAAGCTCATTTCCCCTTTACATAGCTTACTCTGGAATGTTGAGAGACAGAAAACACTCAATGGAATTAAAAACTAAGTGTAAGGTCTGAAAGCATATTTGATGACCACATGAGAAATTTACACTGCACATCACCACAATAATCAATACATTTCATAGTCAGTGAAAGCTATGGTCATAATCTGTAGCAAATAATAAATTCATGCAAGTATGGAACCAGAAAGGCTCTGGGTCCAAGTTCTGGTAATGATGACACTGCACCAAATACTGACTTTACTGCAATATTCAAATCACGGTGTAAAATTGCTTAGGCTTTTGTTCCTGCTACCTCTGTTTACAGCTCTGCTATATCCTCACCCCTTCTTGGATTAGTGTTCATAGAGTTTCTAGCTGAAATTTATTTATGGTCTATATGAGTATTCAGTGACCACTTGGTTCTGTACTAGCATTGTCTTAAGGTGTAAATAGCTCTTCTTCACTGGTTCATTTATAAAGATCATGCCCCATCTCAGTCCTTGCTTTTAAAATTTAAGCAAGCCAAATTCTTTAGTGTCTTCTTGACAGATGAGCTCTCCACTTCCTGACGTGCCTCACAGCAAATTCTTTTTATCTGCTCCTGTTTGAATGTGTCTCCTTCGAGCAAAATTTTCAGAAAGTTATTGCATAGACGTGACTCAGATGTAGACATAATGTAGAGACTTTTCAGAGGGCTTCTGAAATGACTGTGACAGAGCTGAAAAACAGCCAGACCTCTTTTTCTCCTTGCTTTGATCATTAGAACCTACACCTTATTTTTAAATACTAGTGTTCTGCATTCTGCAACTGTGTAGATTGTGCTTCTCACCTTATTTACCTGCAACAGTGGATCAGGTGTTTTGTTTGGATGTCTTGATTGATGCTGTCTTTCTTTTCCAGGGAGGTTCAGCCTTTTCTCCAGCATCCATCATCACAAAGAGGAGAGCTCAAGCCCAAGCAGCAGTCCTGGCTGATGATGTGGGATGCCCCTCATCCACCAGTGAGGAAATTGTAGCCTGCCTCCGCCAGTTGCCTGCTCGTGTCCTCAATGATGCACAGACTAAGGTACACTGTAGTAATGTGTATGCCATTATGAGAGGAATCAACAAGAATTTTCTATTTAAATAAAGTTATGAGATAGCATAAAAAATAAATTGGGCTGAATCCCTGTGAGAGAGGAACTGCACTGGTTTTGTGGAGTGGCATCCACCTCTGACCTTTGAATTCTTCTTTAGGTTGAAATACTTTTACACTATTTTGACCATGTCTTCCAATATTAATCCCAGTATAGTTTTTGCCCTCTTTCACTCTCATTTCATCTGCACTTGATTGTTACTCTAGAGGAGAAACATGTGTCTGTAGTTTCAAGAATTGCATTTTTGCAGAAAAAGGAAATGGGGATAGATATCCACACTTTCTTAAATGGGGAGCTTGTGAAAGCTGCAATGCAGTTCTAGAGATGGATCCTTTACCCACAGCTAAAAACATTCACTGGCAGTACATTATCCAATCAGGACTGGCAGAGATCCAATCTCTGATTAAAAATAGCATTTCTGTGACTATAAGACCACCAATTTTCTTAGCCAGTTCAGCTCACTTCACCTAATAAGACTGTCAGTAAAAGCATTGCTTCTTGCAGTGGTGAGTTTGCACTTATATCAGCAGGTCTCTTGTTCACTCTGAATCTGCCAGTTCAGTTCTCTAAAGCATAAGTAAAATGGAAAAGGTAAACTATTTAACTGCACTATTCTTGTTTGTTTGTTTGTTTGTTTGTTTTTGGTAGCTCCTAGCGATAAGTGGCCCATTCCAGTACTGGGGTCCAGTGGTAGATGAAGTTTACCTTCAGGAACCTTTAGCTAAAGCCCTGCAGCGCCCTCAACTTCAGAAAGTAGATCTGCTCATTGGAAGTGCTCAGCAAGATGGATTGATCAGCAGAACTAAGGCAATTAAGGTAGGAAGAATAAAGCAATCTTTTCTTACTAGGTTTGTCACTGCAGAACATGGTTAATTCAGTCTTTTTCATGCCAGCCTTTTTCTGTGACCTTTTTTTCTCCATTGCCCATAGGAAATAAATGCTCCTGAACAGGTGTTTCTGAATAAGAACTAGGTATGGCTAACAGTAACAATTGCCTGATTTTTATAGCTCAGATTTTGAGCTATAAACTGGTGAAATAAAAAATAATCGGGTCCATGAAGTACTTTGGACATAAGTCCTCAAAGCCATGAAGGTCCTTCTGGAAGACTGTATGTCTTGTAAACCCTTTGGCACTTCTGCTCTTGAGGCAGCATATTAACCTCTTCTAGTTCAGCTGCACATCTCTACAGTGGGAACTATAGCACTTCCCATTTAGCACTGCTAAAATTAAACACTGCAAAATGCTAAGAAATCAACAGGATTATTTTAAACAATGTTTAAGAGAACTAAGTTGCAATCTTTCTGTAACATTGGGGATTTCATGAAAGGTCAATCCTAGCTTCCCTTTTCAGGTAGTCCACAGCACACAGACCTGTTTGCTTAAGAATTAATGATAAAATAATCCTTTTGGATGAAGACTTTTTGATCCACTTGAAGAAAGCTGATATTGCTTCTTTAGTCTTTGTCAGAAGTTTTCTGCCGTTATTTCATGTGCCCTTCTCTTTTGAAATCAATTAAAAGTAGAAGTCAGGCACAGTGAGTGGGTTGTGATCCTGGAGGCTGCAGATACTGATCTGGACCCTGTCAGAAGGGAATAACCCTCAGTAACTCAAGTACAATCATGTGATAAATTAGGAAATTCTAATTAGGAAGTGAAATTCTTTCCTTTACTACTACTTCCACATATGACAGTTGCCTGCAAAACACAAATGAATTTCCATGCTGAATTGAAAACGATGCACCAAATCAATCATGGTGTTAATGAAACCCACAAGTATGAACAGCCAGCACTGTCAGGTTGAAATGAAAAGAAAAAAAAGTTTTTACTCACAGCTTGATAATAAAATGTTGCCTTTGAAAAAGAAAATCTGGGATATCTTTGGTATTTTTTTATAAAGACTTGCAGAGAATAAGACTGGAAGGAACTCAGTAAGCTGGTGCAACTATACTCTAAGAAATGGTTGTGTCTACCTTAACCTGAGACACCTCTTTTAAAATCCCCTATTACTGAAGTTCAGAGGAACAAAAGGGTTTAACTGTCTTTACTTAGGAGGATAATTAACTTCCTTATTAGTTATTATAATAGTATCTATCTCACTTGGTGCTACTGCTATAAGTTAGATTTCATCTCAGCTCCAGAAAACTCACAATATTCATTGTAAGTGGTTATGTTTTGATTTCTCCTTTTGACTTTCTTGAGCTGTTTTCTTGTTTTTACTGAGAAGAGATTTTTCTTGTAATCCACATTTTCCTATTTCTACCTTCCTATGTCAACAGGTTGTGAGGGGTTGAGTGAGTATGACTGTTCTGAGTAGTGTGTTTTCCTATCTATCTTCAGATTGTGTACTTAAAAACATGCTATGATGTTAAAGCTACCTCATTTTTCCCTTATCCACACACTTCGTTAATTACTAGCAAATGCTAACACTGCCTCCATCACTGAGGTATTTAAGGACCTAAAGAGTTGCAACCAAAGTCAGAGTCCTGAGTAGGCCACAGACACATTTAACCACAGTGGAAGAAACTAATGCAGGTGGTGGTTGTTACTGTTGGTGCTTTGTTTCCTTGTCCTAATGACATGATGATCCTTGATCTGTGCTAACTCTCCTCTACTCTTCCCACAACAAAAGGAGAAGAAGGACTTGAGAACAGCACAACAGCAACTACTCTTCTACTTCTGTAATTTGAAAGCTTCCCTTTTTGACTTAGATCTCTCTGGGAACACTCAAAGCTATGTTTACTGATATGTGCTAAGGAAGGTGGGTGGGCTTTGCTGCTGGGTAGAGCGCTGAACTCAATGTAGAGAAACAAGGCATAGTTCCTAGTTTGTTTCTGACTTCAACAAAGTTACTTCAGCTATTCTATAAAGGGGACAGAGCCTCCTAAGGTAAAGTAACCCTCTCTTATCAATCAATATTGTAACAGTGAAAAAATCCACCTGTGATTGTGAATGTACTCCATCTCTGTAATGAAAAGAACCACGTATTAATTTGGGCAGATAAACAGCACAGCTAAAGGGCACTGCAGCAATATACAAAATGGGACAAGTCCTTCCTTTGCACCTCTTTTAGAATGTACTGTAGCTGGTGAGGAGACACTTTTAGCCATTTTAGATGCAAGGAAGACAAGCTTATCACCTCAGACTGAAGCTTCATATAAAAGTTTTAGAAACTCTAAGCAGTCAACAAGTGAGACCAAAGCCCCTAGACTGCAACTAGAACTGAAGATGGTAAACACAGCTTGTACTATGTTGTTCTGTGGGGGCTTACTGAAATTTGGCTTGTGTACTTCTGGTATTTGATTGTCTCTGTACTTCTGCTATAAGACTATACTTATGACTGTTCAGACCTTTACTATTAAAAATGAAGAATGACAGAAAGCACACAAGAAACCAGTTCTATGCTAGCAAAACATTTCTGTTTGTTTACCATTAAAAGCTGAAGTCTCTTGATGATGTCTGTATCAGACATTCATGCTCAATGTCTTGCCCATGGTAGTGACCATTTTATGGCATTCACCTGAATGCTTATTCATGTGAACTCAGACAGATTTACCACTTCCTGGAGCACTGCATACTCAGCCCCAGTGCAGCCATCTGATGGTTGAGTCTAAGTGAGAAACAAAGCAGGGTTTGTTTAGGGAACAGCAAGTGGCACCGTAATGCACTGTTATGTGGCATATGGAGCAGTTAACTCTGAACCCGTTATCACAATTCCCATGATGGACCTTCAGGGATATTAGCTGCAAACAGTCATAGATTAGAGCAGCTGAGCAGAAACCTCTAAAAATGTTTGTTTCAATTCCCATACGGGCAAAATTGTTTCCCTATGCTATATGAGATGTTCAGGTGACAGGATCCAACAGTTCCTATTGGCATTAAATGTACTCATGCTGTTGTGTCTCTGTGGTTAGTCTGCATATTGTGTGTAAGTCAGTACAGCCCTGTTGATGTCCTCCATATGTTCTATGCTTGCTGCTTAATCTCCTCGTTGCAAGGACTGTCGACTTTCTTTTTATGTGGAAGACTAAAAATGCACTTTGCATGTTTTCTGCCCTTCTCTTTCCTTCCCATTTATTTGGCTACCTATCCTCAGAACCAGGACATAGGAGAGTGAATAAATAGAAGTATAGTCTATTTACCCCATGTAAGCAATGGAATCTAAGCTGAGCAGATCTTCCATCCTACACTGCAATACAGTCAGTTGCTTTCTTCATGGGTAAAGACATCCAGCTACGTGCAACAGATGGCAGATAAGTGTATATCAGCTGCAATGACCTGGTGAGCAGTGTTCTGATAAATGTCATCAGTGAGGAGAATGGGCTGATCTAAGCTCTTTACTTCATCTTGTAGCTATCTGGAATAATTGAAACACTGCTGAATAGCTGGCAGGGCCTTTCAGCGTCCTTTGTGATTAAGTTTATCAAAAGACATTTAAACCTAGCATCTCTGTACAGTCTGTTAGCATTATCACTACTCCAGTTTCTCAGAAAATTACATTTTGCCCCGTGGAAGATGTAAATATTTGTTTACCAACTGCTTTTTAACACTTCCTTTTTAAATGAAATACTGGACCAGGCTCACTCAAATGCTCTGGAAGCCATACTGCAGCAAGAACAGTTAGTATTTTTTAGCTCATTACTTAGGCAATGTTTATGACTGCTTTGCATCACCAGAGCAGTGGAAAGCAATGCGCCTGCTGTCTTTAATTATTTTCTTACCTATTTATTAAAAAAATATTGAAAACCCCACTACAACTCAGAGGTCAATTTATACCTCTTTAGAGGTTGGCAGAGTAAATTGTTTTACATAATGGGCAGCTGTTTCTTCTAATCAAGTAGCAGCTGTTTTATCTACTGCTACATGAAAATTGTTCCTTGGCCATATAATTTCTAATAGGGAATATTTTTTGGACATGGAAAACTGGTCAAACAAATTCTGAACGATTAAAATACTTTGTCTTTTTAATGTTTTATGAATTTTGACTGTATTGTTTTGATTGGTGTTATCATGTGAAAATCAGATGTTTAAATTACATTTTATAGTAGCCAAATCAACTCTTGAAACATGGTATTTCAATATGTGCAATGTTAGTGCTGGTTGAGATGAAAATCTCAAAATGTTTCACAGATGCCAGTTCTGTTTTTATTTAGTTCTGCCTCTGTCAGCTGACTCACCACATCGCATGGATCCCACTTAGTTAGCAGTGATTGCTGAGAAAGGTCACCAGAAATTTCTAGGGCATTTTGAAGATCACAGAAACTAGTACACAAGCACAGTAAAAACCTAAAAGTAACCACACTGAGTCAGATTTAAGGCCTAGTTAGCCCAAAACACTGTTTTCAGCAGTGGCTAAGACCTGGATGTTTGTAAGAATATATAAGCAAATATGATACTTTTGCTAAATGTTCTGAACCCATAGTACTTCATAGCTTAGAGACATCCTAACCAGAATTGGTCTCTGTATTTTCTAACTATCAACCGATGTTTTACTTTTCCATTAGCTTCTTCATGAGATTTCATCTTCACCAGTTCTGATATCCACAACACCTCATGGCAAGTTGTTCCTCAGCTTAACCATGAACTGCGTGATGATCCACCTCATTCTCTGGGTTTTGGAACCATAATGTTTGAGGCTAATAGTTGATGAGGCAGTGAATGATCAGTTCCCAGAGTAAATGGTTTCAAACTAATAGGGGAGATTTAGATTGGATATAAGGAAATGTTTGTAGGATAAGGGTGGTGAGGCACTGGAACAGGTTGCCCAGAGGATGGATGCCCCATCTCTAGAGATGTTCAAGGTCAGTCTGGACAGGGCTTTGAGCAACTTGGTCAAGCTGTAGATGTCCCTGTTCATTGCAGGGGAGCTGGCCTGCATGACCTTTAGGGGTCCTTTCAACTCAAATGGTTCTGTGATTCTATGATTATATGAAATAAAATAGAAGCAGGAAAGTTTATTAAATTTACTTTAAACTTAAGAGCTTTGACTCTGCATCGACACAGGAAAGTATGTTTTTTACCACAATTGTTAGCCAAATCCTGCAATTTCAGTCACCATATGAGAGATTCCTATTTAGACAGCAGCAATGTTTCCACTGGATATTACAGACTTGACTTGAATTCTACCAAAGCCAATGAAACACTTGATTCTGAATTCTGTGGATTTGCAGTCAGCTCTTTAGTGATAATTTCCATTTCTTGCAGAAAAAAATATATGTGTCCATGCCGTATGCAAAGTGAATGATTTTGCAGACAAGTGCACTATGCAGTTTCATATGTGGCATTTGTGCAGACGAAATGACGTGTCATCTGTCAGTTGCTGATCTTTTTCGGATTACAGCCATGTTACTAAAACTGGCACCACATGACTCTTTTCAGTTTGCATGGGCCAAAGTCTAGCAAAAGAAGAATTTATTACAAATACAAGAAAATTGCCAAGATCTTTTTAGACCTTGGGATATTTACTAGTGTTTTGAAATCCCTTGTAAAGTCATTTAATCAAACTGCACAAAGCTTTAAAGCACATCAGTAAAGACAGGCCTAGGCCTCAGCAGTGGGAGACTGATTTTCCATCTTTCATTTCTGTGAATCTGTTGAAAAGTAATTATTCCTTCTGTACTTTTTGTGTAGGGTTGTGGAAAGACCTTCTAGCTTCATGATGAAAACCAGCTGCAGGCCATCGAAATAATATATTCAATAAAGCATCTCTGGTAACTGGACTGGGCAGACACCCTTATATTTTGCTTCAGACTAGCTGCCCAAAATAATATAGGTGGTTTATTAGATCTTTCTCTCTGGCACTCTAGTACTAAATTTCAGCCATGCACCTGCAAGGTGTTCTTTTTAGAAAGGAGTTGTGTTTTGTTTTTTTTTTCTTTTTCTTTTTTTGAGGAAGTTGGTGTGTTTAAGTTGAAATAAGTTCTACCAAAAAAAAAAAAAAAAAAAGAGAGAGAAAAATCTAAATTAATACAACATAAACTTCCTCAAAGAAAGATGTGCTGAAAAATTCCAGCAGTCTTTAGCTTTGTTAAAAATAGGATCAGCTGAACAGTTTATCATAGAAGACAATCTCCCGCTATCAGTAATTCTGCAGAGACATGTTCTCATTGCTCTGGGGAAAATGACATTATGTCAGGCAAGGTTTCGGTCTCTCAGACTCATATATAGGGCATTTCACTCTCTGAAAGGAATAGGGGTTATGAATTTTGGAAATAATGACTGCTACTTCCGTTGAGTTTTGGAGGAGAGTGATTTCTCTTCCAGGGCTAAGGCAGGTATTATTCCAGTAGCGACTGAAATAAAGGCTTTATAGCAGACTTATTTCTTTTAAACGCTTACTGAAGAGTCAGATTGATAGCCATGTGTCAGTGTTATCTAATGTCCAAAGGTGAGGAGCAATCTCTCTCTCTCTCCCTGTTAGTTTTCCCACTCAAACTCATCAGAAAGACAACACTGGGCACATACACACGAAGGAAACATCTCTGTTAACTATTTTTCTGTAAGAGCCAGCTGAGTTTTGCATTTTATAGCTACAGCTCACCAAAACTATTTCTACAACTTGGATCTACCAGCTTAGTGATTCAGTCCTATGTTATTTACTGAGGAAGTCAATTTTGCTGTTTGGTGACTGTCTTGGGAAAGTAAAAGTAGGACTGTTCCTTACTTCATCCTCTAAATCAGAGGTCATGGTAAAGAGAACTCATTCCATCAGAGGGATATCTGAGCCTGTATTGTTCCATTAAAAAAAAATGTCTATTTTGATTTTGTTTGCAAATTCCATTTGTTTTGGTTTCAGAAATTTGAAGAAAGTCAAGGAAGAACCAACAGCAAAACAGCCTTTTATCAAGCTCTGCAAAATTCTCTTGGAGGAGAAGACTCCAACTTGTTCATTGAAGATGCAGCTACATGGTATTACTCCCTTGAACATTCGACTGATGATTATTCATCATTTTCCAGGGCTTTGGAAAATGCCACCCGGTAAGAGACTCATCCTATGATAATTATATAACTGGGGTTATGGAAGGTTTGTTTTGCTTGTCTCCAGTGTGCATTTATATTCTGAATAACATGATAAATTCTTATGCAAATGAATAGAAAATGAGGTATATTATTTTGTTTTCCACAAAGCTTCCAATAATAATAATAAAAAGAAATGTAAGAGGCTTTTCTCCTTTGTGAAAAGGTTGAGAAAGTTTTACAGAACTGCACATTGGATTCAAATTATTAATGTTTCTTATATACATTTTCATTTTCAAAGATGTCTTGTTATCTGCAAACTCTTCATCAGTTACTCCTTGAGTCTTCTCAGCCCTGTGATAGAGAATATAAATAAATTAGACTGTATTAAAAAACACTCACCTAATTATACAGTTATATGCTATTTTTACTGTTCAGAATTTTGGAGACATTACAGTGTTGTAGATTGTAGAAATATATAAATGTTGAAAATCAGTATTTTTTTATTATATTAAGTGTTTGTTTAGGTGAGTGCAATGTTTTTAGGTGATAAAATTTGAAAACTTTGATTTCAGCAATTGCATGAAGTTTTATATTATGAAACCAGTAAAATACATGTCTTCACCATGACAGGCTTTCTACAGGTAAAACAGTTTGTGAATGTTCATAAAAGTGGCTCTCAACATAATTCTGTTCATAGTTAATCTTCATTTTATCCATGGCAGAAGAATTCCCTTTGGCTTATTCATGTGTTTCTTTGACTCATGCAATCACTTGTGCCAGTGTACAGTGGTTGCATAACATCTAAAACCAGGATTTACTCCATTTACATCTGATTTCCATGGTGAGAGAATTAGGCAGTGCAAGACTTTTGTATGAACACAAAGTCTTTTTGCAGAGGTGAAAGGAGAAAACATGATTTCAGGCTCTTACCCTATTTTATCCATCAGGATACACCATAGACTCAAAGTGCCTCCCAGCCTCTTTGATGGAAATAGTTGTAATGTGATTGAATATCAGCAGAGACATTGCAGGCAGGGACCACCTCGTAAATATGAAGAGCTTCAACATCATGTTTATCCACTCATTGTGCATGGCTCCAGAGTCCAGCAGCTCTGGAAAACAATCAGTTTGAACAACTCATTGCTCAGTTGTGTTAAGACTCTAAGGCAGTCATAACAGTAAAGCCAGGCCATAAACCAATAGGTATCTTCAGGTTGGGTCACATGGCAGTTTGATATGCTGCTGGATCTGCAGAGAAAACTGCAGTTTTCTCTCTTGGCAGCCAGTTTGCTTTTGCTGGTAGCAGATCTTGAGCTATGGGGTCTCAGCTCATTTCTCTTAAAGGAGGCAAACAGAGAGGAAATCTTACCTCTTTTTCCTGCCAGTGAGCAGACATTGAGGCAAAATTTTTAAGTGGAACAGATCTTCATTAAAAAAAAAAAAAACAAAAAACCAACTATTTCCAAGTCCCTTTTCCTTCTTCAAGTGCAGTTTAGTTATGAAAATACTTTCCATTTCTAAGGTGATGTGTTTTATAACATGGTGATCAAATATGTCACTCCAAGCTGCTTCACTCCTCTGTTGTCTTTTGAGATATCATAGCTACAAGCTCCTGGTATCTGACTTCTCAGCACTAAAGCTTTCTGTCACACCATGGGTATCTCTATGAGACTTTAGATGCAAGGCTTTGCTTTCAGTAGATCTTTGTCCTCCATTACGATGGCAGGCTGTTGCTCCAGGGGAGCCTCAGGGAGTGGAGGGTGAACAGGAGCCAAGATTCACTTGGAAACATCTGATCCAAGATAGCAGTGACTGCATCTGTTTGGGGAAGGCTTCTGGGTGGTCCAGGTGCGCCCGTGCATTGAGGTCACAGCATAAACAAGCCAGAGGGCTGTGGGTTGAGCTGTGTGCCATTTCTCAAGTCTTGCACTGTGCAGCATCTGCTCAAGAAGAGGACAGCAATCACTGCCCAGAGATTGCCTCCATACGGAGCTGTTCTAAGGGCTGTCGCATGTGGTCCTCCATGTTCAGCCTACATGCTCAGCATGGTGCAGACACTGACCTTTGCAAAGCTGTAGCAGCTAGCAGGCTTGTTTGCAGCAGGGATGTGCTATACAAAGAGCAATTCCGGCTCTCAGCCTCATCAACACATTGGCAGGAATTACCTGCCAATTTACAACATGAAGCAAATGGCTTTGTTAGGAAAAGAAGTGATTGGCTTAGAGTCTCTTCAAGCAAGCATGAGAATCAGAAGTGAAACCAGGATATCTGATGATAAACACATCTTTTTTTTACAGAATTATAGTCAACTACATCAGTATTGCATATAGAACAGAGAAAATCTTCTTGATTTTGTTTTTAACAAAAAGCTTACCACCAGCATTATTCTCAGAAAAATTCTGTATCAGGAAGTTATTACTTCAAGATTTAACAAGTTTCTGAAGTGCGAAAAGGAAACCAAAGTGTTTTTTGTGAATTATATATGTCGTGCATACCTGATGACTTTAAAACATTTCCACTTTTGAAATTGTTTTAGCTATAATTCTCTGATTTTTTTTCTCTTCTATAAAATAAAATTCACTTTTTCTTTCTCTTTCTCTTTCTTTTTCTTTTTCTTTTCTTTTTTCTTTTTCTTTTCTTTTTTCTTTTTCTTTTTCTTTTTCTTTTTCTTTTTCTTTTTCTTTTTCTTTTTCTTTTTCTTTTTCCTTTTTCTTTTTCTTTCTTTTCCTTTTTCTTTTTCTTTTCCTTTTTCATTTTCTTTTCCTTTTTTTTTAAAACTCTGGTATCCTATGCCTGTAAGAAATAGACATCTCCTTTGTGTGGTAGTTTGTTTTTTAATTTGCCCAGAATAGCTGGCTTATTTTTTCCTCCGTAACACCAAATTAGAAACAGGTTAAAATGTCATTTGCTTCACGTTGTAATTAAGCAGGTCATTCCTATGTATTTCCTAGAATTTCTTGAGAGCTAATGCTCTCCACAATTTTCAAAGGCCGTTTTCTCATGTACAAACTTGTGCTGGTAGGTATGTGAAGAATGGTAACTTTCATTTCATATGGGTGTTGTCAACCATAACTGTCAAAGAAGATTGTGGTCAGCCAGCCCATAGCTTGTGGTCTCAGAGTTCAGCTTAAAATAAACTGCTGAACCAAAATAGCTACCCAACCCATGGCTTGCAGAATTGTATTAGTTAAATATAGCAGTGTGTTTTTATGCTTCTCTGGCACTGTTGTTTCTTGCCACCAGTCATTCTTTTTTACTCACCAAGTCTGAAGGAACAACTAGTGCTTCAGAGTCACCAGGCTGTGAATGGTAACCTCCCACTTCTGCAGCAGATACATTTGTGTGTGCTCATATAGTTATGGATATATAAATATGTCCTCGAGCATCCTCGAGTCTGTGTGCTTTTTAAATGAGAAATGGTGATATACTTCTGTATGTATGATATTGCTTTGAGGAATCACAATGAAATATCATGCAGTAAGCTGTCTGGCTCTGTCTCCCTGCCTCTCCTAAAGTTCTTAAGCTCTTTCCAGCTACCATTCACTCCAGATCACAGACTTCCAGCCTCTCTTCTGGGGATGATGGCAGCTAGGAAGGTTTTTGCATTCACTCATACCTTCGTATTGCATGCCCAGATGGATCACTTCACTGTCTGATTGCACTCTTCTTGTTTAACCTTTATCTCCCAGATATGCAGTTGCACCAGCTATTGCTGAGCCCTGCAGTACATCTTCAATAGGGATCTCTTACCTATGCCAGTTCTGGAAATTCTATGCAAAAAATCACACAGATTCAAATACTGGAGTGATATCAGTGATCCTTAACCTGGGAAATGTCTGTTTACTAGACAAGATTGCATTGTATTCATGCTACATGGACACTTTTAGTGTTGCCTGACTTTTAGTGTTGCCTGAGTCCCATAAACTGGGCTAAAAAAGGAAAGTTTTTTGTCTCATTTCATGATTGATTCTGTGTATTTATTATCATCAGTATTGTTCAACACTCCATAAAAGTGCAAGTGAAGATAAACTGAATCCTAGCTTGCATGGGGCTCATAGAGTAAATGTGGTTTGTTTCAATATGGCTGAAGGTAGACATATGAGTTACTTTGGAAGATTTAAAGGAGGATATTAATTTTTGTTATGTGACTATGTCTGTTCCCCACTCCTCCTTTTTAAACAGTGACCAGTTTATCACATGTCCCATCATAAGCATGGCCAATCACTGGGCTGCTAACTCCAGAGGAAATGTCTTCATGTACCACGTGCCGGCAAGCTCTTCAGAGAGCAGGTAAGGAGATATGTTTCTTTGTTTTTGACAGATTTAGAGTTTGCTAAAACATGGCTGTCTGTTTGAGCACTCTGTGGAGTAAAAGGACAGATGTAGATACCTCAAACGAACAATTTGGATTAAGAAAAGAGGATTGGGATTGGGCTTTCATAGGTTATTCCACTGTTAACTCTTTAGGACTGATGTTTCTGAACTTAGGCACTTCATGTTAGATGTCTATTAGGTTTTGCTTTTCCAGCTTACCTATCCTAAGGGGTGGTGTACCTCCCCTACAAGGACAGGCTGGGGCTGTTCAGCCTGAAGAAGAAAAGGCTCCAGGGAGACGCAAGAGCGACCTTTTCGTATCTAAAGGGGGCTGTAAGGAAGATTCTTTAGCAGAATCTGTTGTGATGGGATAAGGGGAGATGGTTTCAAACTAAAAGAGAGGAGATTTAGATTGGATATAAGGAAAATGTTTTTAGGATAAGGGTGGTGAGGCACTGGAACAGGTTGCCCAGATGGTAGGGGGATGCCCCATCCCTGGAGATATTTAAGATCAGGCTGGAAGGGGCTCTGAGCAAGCTGACCCAGCTGTAGGTGTCCCTGGTCAGTGCAGGGAGTTGGACTAGATGACCTTCAAGTGTCTCTTCCAACTGAAATGATTCTATGGCTCTATTATTTTAGTGTTGCCAGTTCCAGATAGTATTTCAGATTTCTTCTTTGTACCTGATAAATCTGCCACAAAGAACCAGAATGTGTTCTAAGTCACCTGGAGTTCACAGATCTCAAGATAAATGGGGTACAAAATTTTAAGAACTAAACACCAATTTAACGCTGCCCCCTTTTGAAGTCAGCTGCACCACAACTATGCTGGATGGCCTTCACTGTGGTCAGGCTCTGGCATTTGTTCCTTCCTGCTCTAGCATTGTAACTTCTAATCAGCCAGCAGACTGTCTCATGGGAAAGAAAATATTTTTGATGACAAGCATTTGCAGACAGAAGCTCCATGTCAGCCTTCATGTTAGCAGCTTACTCGAAAATTTTTCGGAAGTTGCATCATTTTTTATATGAAAGATCTAAGTGGTAGCTTTATTCAAACCCAGACCCTCCTAGAAGTCAGGATGAAACACTGATGTCTGTGGGCAGTGGTTAGAACTCTGGCTGCTGTGTAGCACACCTTGGTACCTCCTGGTGCCCCACTTTCACAGCCCTCCTGCCCCCCACATCAGAGCAGCAAAGCCCACAGGACTGCTTAACAAAAGGGATCTGCTAAGTGTCCTTATGGGGGAGCAGTATTCACCTCCTGCACTCCATACTGTCCCGTTCATTTGTCTAAATAAGGTTTTTGAGACCCTGTTTTCTGAGGCTTTCTCTAAAGAGATGAGGAGCCACAATTGTTTGGAAGGGCTCAGGGGAGTGGACAGTGCGTTCCTACTGGCACCATTTGATACTGAGAAGTTGCCTGTAAACTATGCATTTCTTTCCTTTCCTGATAGCATAGTGAAAAAGCACTTGAAAGAAGCCAGCCAAGATCCAGGTTACAGATGAAGGCCATTATGCTGTGGTAACACAGACTCGCTTTCTTTTTAGCAGAAAAGAACTTAATCCTTGGGGAGCCATTATTTTTCTGGCAGCTCCAGTGGGAATGTTCACAGTACTCTGTTTGGCTACCGAGAGGCTCAGATAAGTGGCTTTTACAAGGCTGCAAATAGAGCTGAGCTATGGTATGCCAAAAATCCAGCCACACAGAAAGAAAAGTTGTGTTTGCAAATAAGCTAGCAAGTTCCTTCTTGGTTTGGAGAATGATAGTGATGCAGTCATCAGACATAACCTCTTATTTGAACAGAGATGAAACAGTCATTTTGCGACTGAAAGTCACTGGTCTTGAGGCAGGGATTTTGAATGGATAAGGATTTCCTCTTCTATCTAGTCCTATTAAAAATGTCTCTTGGGCTCCTGCTACTCACCTCTCCAGGAAAATAATGGTTTATGTAGGACTTAGCTATGCATTTCAGTAATATCTACATTGTTAGTGATCTTTTAACCTAATTATTTTAAATTTTAGCACTAAATTTGTTAGTTTACTTTTTCATAACTCTCTTTAAATGTATCTATTGTTACTTATTTTAAAAAATATTATTTATTATTCATGCTTAGTTTTACATCCGAGCATTTAAAAAATAAATTGTAGAATTTATCTTTATATACCAACAGGCATCTTTTGATAGTACAACCTGACTGCTTATGAACTGATACCCTTGCTTTCCATACGGCTTCTGCCTCGCAAATGACAGATTTCCCAAAGACAACTCACTAGGTCTGCTGCTGAATATGCTCCAAGTTTTTTGTTTAAACATTATTGACATCCATTCCTAAATGACTCCTTCCTTATTCTCTATCCTATTTTCATCATGTGACCAACCTCTTTCCTTCTCCCTATGGCATTCTTCCTTCTATATAGCAAACATGCATTGCATGCTTTCCAGCAGCCTCACTGCATGCCAATGTAGCAGTGCTGTGGAGGCTAGTTGCTTCTCATGAGAGAGAGAGGCTAAAAACTGTGAGAAACCCTCAGTAATCTGAAACTGACAAAATGCAGTGTATGGGAACATAATGGGTGATATACCCTATGGGATTACAATAATGATGTACGTGAAGATTGCTTCAAGTGGAATTTACTAGACAAAGATACGTCAATCTGACGTTACTGACTCCCAAGAGACATCCATAACCACCAAAATAGCAAGTCCTGCCAGTCCTCAGGTTCTTTCTTGAAAATCAGGACTCTCCTTAAAAGGAGGAACAGAGGCAGAGTAACATCAGCTTAAGTTAGAAGATAGGTTGTGTGGTTTGAACCTCCTCAGGAGAGGTGAGAATTTAATCTGAGACCCTGCCAACATTCAGACTATTACATTTATCAAGAGGAGAACACTAATACAGCCATTTCTTTATGTTAATGAATGCAAAAACCAAAAGTATGTTTTGCATGTAGTAGGTATATCTGGGTTTTTCTGTGAGTGCACGTACTGGATCAGTTCTCGTCAGTGATTGTAGATGGAGGAATACCTTATTAGAGATTCTGATCACTCATAAGCATTTGATAGAAAAATATTTTCTCAGCCTGTTTGATATTGGATCACATCTAGGTTTGCTCTGACTTCTGTTTGTAAAAATGTAAATTTCTACAGCATTATGTCCACAGAACTGCATAACAGATGAAATGGTTTTTGAGTCTTGGATGTCTGAATTCTACCTGTGACCTCAGTTTACACAAGATATGGACGTTTCTCTCATTGCCTATATTATTAAGATGATAATGATAATACAAATTATCTATGACTACTAACTACCTCACAGGGTATTGGAATGGGTTCAGATAATTGTAGCAATGGAAAACTATTTACTCTCAGATAAAATATTTTGGCTGTGGAAATTACCATTCACTTATTAGGCTCCTGCACAGTATAGAACATGCATATTGCACATTCTTCAATTTCAGCTCTGTCACCTCTCTACTATTTTATGTGTGTCCCCCAGATGTGTAACAGAAGAGTTAAAATGGAGAGATGAAAAATACTGGGATTTCTTCTCATTTCACATGGAGCAGTCTCTTAATAATTCACAGCAAGATAAACAAAAGGGACAAGAAGTCATCCAGTGAAGACAAACCCAACTGGAATGATGAGAAATAGACCAAAAGTTATTAAACAGGGAGGAATGTTTTAGCAGTGGAAATCCATTAGTGAAAGTTCATGTGACAAATGAATGTTTCTAGAATGTACAGACACACACTCAGACACACAAGGTCAGGACTAAACATCACACTCCACACTGATGTCTCTGACATATGTAGAAAATCAAGTAAGGCCACAAACTGACAGTTATCATATAGATAAACTGATCTTTCAGAGGGCAAAATACCTCCTTCCACATGGTAACATTCTCCCAAGCTTGGCATGACACCATTTCTGCTTTAGTCTTCAGTTCCTATTTGAATAAAGCAGGATGTGTAGCCAGCTCCAGCATTAATGATCTGTGGCGAAAATATATGTAATCCAGATGCCATTTTCTCGCACTCTTCTTGAAAACATTTAGGCCTTGGAGTAAACAGTTACTCTAAACTGCAGGAGGAATGTGGCTGCTCAGCATTGCCTAAGATTAGTGGGGAAAGCTGAAGTTTTAGTTACAGTAAAGAAATATGTGATAGGAGAAGTATGTTTTGACAGAGATAATATTATTAACTGCACAAAGACTTGCCTTGTTAACCCTTGAAGAGATTTCTGGGTGATTGTTGCATTTTACTGGGATATGAAGCAGCACTGCTTTCCAGAACAGCGTAGTTTCCAAGTCACACTGTAGTGCCAAATGTGCAGTCTTAAAGAAGATGGACAGATTTTAGTACTCTGCTAAGGAGTCAAGATCAGCAAAACATCATCATTATCATTGAGGAGTCTAAACTGAGGCTTCAAGAGGCTCTGTCTTTTTTTTAGTGATTAACATTACCGTAATAGTTGTCACATAAGTTTTTGTTAACTTGTGCACTGGACAGAATCCTCCAAGATTTATAAGCTGCTGTCTATTTTTGAGTCATTTTAGTTGGGGCTGCCTCCACCTCCTGACTATATGCTCTTTTATATGTTGATGTGAACTGTTAAAAGACTGCTCCATGCCAAGGTGAACATAGCTGGCTGTGACACTTAATATGTTTCCCAAAATTCTGAAGATGGGAACTCCTGACTGCTTAATATATACATACATACAGACAGACATATATATATGTATTTCACTCAGTTAATATTTAACATAGTTTATGTTTCCCATACTTAATACTTCACACGGTTAATGGATTTGAACCAATTAGCTATGTAAAGGATTTTTATTTTCTTCTTAATAGGCATGCTGTTCTAACTCTCGCTGGTCTTATATCACTTTAAATAAAGGAGATTTTCTACTCTTCCACTTCTGTGATAGCTATATCCCTGGCAGTATACTCTGTGATGCTTTAATCTGGCTTCTATGCA